ACATACATATATGAAAAGGAGGATACGTGTTTGTCTGTACCCCCCACCCTCATCTCCGAATGAACATGTTAATATTTCATTTCAGCATGCCTTTGTTACCTTCTGCTAACTTAAGTGTTAGCTTCATGTACTAGATGTTGTTACCATCTAACCCGCAGTTCATTTTATTTAAGTTTGGGAACTTTTTTTTTTTTGCTTTTGTTCCTCCTTGGACAAACCAAGTACAACCAACTCGCTCCACAGACCAAATTCCCCTCTGACATACTGTGAGAGCCATTTTAACCTTTTCAGCCGGTTTGCATGTGTGTTTGAGGCCCAAAGCCTGTGAATGTGTTTGAGCCTGCGCGCGCATGTGTGTGCGTGTGGGAGAGAGTGAGAGTATGCACAATATCAAAACAAAGGGACTTTATTCCTCTACGTGTCATCCTCCACTTTCAAAGTTGTATTTTTCTAAGCGACCAACGACGAGTAACATTCCCGATTGAAGGAAGAAGCTTTGAAAGGAAGGGTGTCTTTGTAGCACACACCAAGCAGACGCGCACGTAGATAGTGTGCGGGGTACACGGCCGAAATGTCTGTGATGATTTCACGTTACATATCCCCCCCGCCCCCATATACACACACACACACACACACACACACACACACAGCCTTCCGATTTTCCATCGGATGGGGATACATCTGTGTACTAATCTCCATGATTTTTTTGCTAATAAAAGAGCTGCTGTGGTGAAACCATAGCAACTTATGCAACAAACTCGTCACTTTGATTTTTTTGGGTCATCAAAACAAACTGAGCTGTTTAACTCATTCTTTTCAGACTTGGTTTAGAATTGGCTGGTACTGAATGAGCTTAACTGTCTTTACAGGGGATAATTGGAAAAGAAATAGATTACTGTGAATTCAATTTAAATTTGACTTTTTTTTCCCATGACCAGCAAATGTTTTTGTTTTAACATGATCACTTCTGCCACATGTCTTGGAAATGCACTGATGGTGAGCTATTTTTAGATTAGGCCGCAGGATACTGGTGGTCCTTTGGGCTGAACAGATACCCGCAGGCATCGTGTTGGTGACGACTGCTCTCAACTTTTGAATGTCCAATTGTTCAATGTTTTCCCTACTTTGTTTTATCTTCTTTTTTTTTTTTGGACTGAAGAATGTCAGAGAAGTGTTATGAAAATACCTGGAAATTATTTTAAAATGTGGGAAAAAATGCACAATGTCTCTCTCCAGTGGCATAAAAAGTAAGTACACTTAATTATGGTCTACCGAGATGAATTGTAATGACAAATTTTCATCATGAAACCCTTCATTACTTTCTCCCAACAATACATGCGCAAATTAGGTTTAATAACTAACCTGGGCTAATTAATTGCGCAGCTGTTATGCCAATTAATTATCTCTGTGCCATTCATCAAGTTGAAGGAAATTCATATTTCCATGCATTTATTTATCCATATGGCACAAGAACAACATCAAGTCATCTAAAGAAACGGTTTGCAGCAGTGCCAAGGCCGTCCCACGCGCTGAGGCTAAGCCCAGTGTGTCGAAGCACAATGATCAGGCATTATAAGGGAGACCTATTTTTAGGGCAGTTTTGTGTGATGTATAAAGCTAAGTGCACAATCATTATGCTAATCCCTTAATTCCTGCAAGGCAGATCAAACCGTGCACATATGACGCTTCATCAAAGCCAAGGTCTGGATTTAAGGAGAAGAATAGAGAGGGAAAAGGACTCTGTGGATGATGTTAATGATCCACTTCAAACACAAAGCTACTGACCAGAGTGAATCAAGCCACATCTGCCATCAAGAGAACCACACAAGTTCATCCATTTTCTAATGCGTTTATACTCACAAGAGTTGCGGGCGTGCCGGAGCCTATCCCCAGCTGTCTTCGGGCAGCAGGTGGGCTACACCCTAAATTGGTTGCCAGCCAATCGCAGGGCGCACATAGACGAACCATCTACACTCACAATCACACCTATAGGGACAATTTAGATTAGAGTGTTCCATTGACCTACCACGCATGGTTTATACAGTTACCGAATATAAACAAGCAGGAAAAACAATAGCAATCATTCAAGAGTAAACTGTTTTGAAACTTGGAGGTAACAAGCGGGTGAACCCTCTCTCTCTCTCTCTCTCTCTCTCTCTCTCTCTCTCTCTCTCTCTCTCTCTCTCTCTCTCACACACACACACACACACGCACACACTGCATTGCTGAGAGTGTTAGATGCAGAGGAGCAGCTCTTGACAAGCATAATAAATATTACATTCAACTTTTACTCGGGCCACATCGGAGAGCCAGGCATTAAAAAGTCATGCCTACAAAAGGGCTTGTCATTCTCTGTTTGACTTATAGTGAAAAGAGGAATTTTTATGGAATATTTGTATGTATGATGAACATGTCGATTCCAATTGGTTTCGCTCGCCGTGGAAGGACAATACCAGTTGGTGGCAGTAATGCGGCATAAAGCTGGTTTGCCAAACCACACCCCACTGAAGAAGAATAAGGAAGCGCAATAGTTTGGGTATAATTGTGTTTTTTGCTTGCGTTTTCCTCGAATTTTGGTGTTTTTGAGCTGGCTGGAGCGGATGAATTGCATTTCCATTCATTTCAAAAGTAAAGATGATTTGAGATATGACTGTTTTGAGATACAAATGTGGTTATGGAAGAAATTAAGCTTGTATCTCAAGTCACCTCTGTATGTTGGCATGAGCTGATGTGAATTTAGACAAAAGTAAAACTTTGCTGCCATCTTGTTGCAACCACAGGCAGTTACAGTAGCATGAAAACATTTCAGGTGGCCTCAATTGCAAGGCGCACTGGATGCATTTTATTTCAGTTTTGTGTGTGTGTGTGTGCGTGTGTGCGTGTGTGTGTGTGTGTGTGTGTGTGTGTGTGTGTGTGTGTGTGTGTGTGTGTTTAATCAGACTGTAGCCTCTGACTGTGTTATGTCAATCAAATAGTCCCATACTGGATATACAGTACTTAATTCAAACATGTACATCGGTTTCACATGAATAAAATTCGGTCAAACTATGTAATTTTCCAATATTTTACTCAAAAATAAACAAATAATGTGTTATTTAAAAAACTATTTAATTATTTGGCACCAAAAATCACATTTTTTCTGTGCAGGGCCTTCACTAATAGGAGTACCAGCCCTTCATAACTAAATTAGCAATGGGAACGTTTCCTTAACCAGTCAGATTTCAAATCCATTCTACACAGAATCAAAGATAGAACCCTGCTTGGCTTTGGCAGCGTCAGCTGCTGTCGTCCACAATCTAAACCCTGAGTCATGTCCTCTGTGGACCCCAAAGGCCTTTTCATTGATTATATCAGAGAGTTCCCTTTCATTTACTCGTGTATTACGTTCTTATTATTTGGAAACAATTTTTTCTCCCATTTTAGCACTCAATAATTTTTTACTTCTTCAATTTTTGTACACAATGATTTTTGACTTTACGGACACCCTCGAACCCGTGAGCTGGCCAGCTAGCATACAGCTAGCATACACCGGCCCAAGTTGATTCGGTACTAGCGCGTCATAATGCCTGCCGACCACAGTAATAATCAGAAAGGCCTTCTGGAAAACTCAAGTAAAACAATTTTGGATGTCTGTCGTCTGTCAGGAGAACTCCGGGGAAAAAAAGTCCCTCATCTTTTATTTCATGACTTGTTTCCCCCAACTCTGCGCTGTCATCGTGGACGGGCACTCAGGTGGGATCTTGACAACGACGAGGACGACTGAGGCTCCCCTAACGGACACGGTGAGTTGGGATCCAGCTACCTGCCCGGGGCTATCCTGCTCAAAACCACTACAGGGTGCCACCTGGGTCGTGGTGGTGTCTCACTGTAAGAAGAGTAGAGAACCATCTCCCTGGCCCCAGCTGGGCCTGAAAACTCGATTTGCCGCCCTGGCGAATGATGATCCTGCTCACATTACCGTGCTCCCGGTGGCGGAAACGTCTGCTGTCGTATCCGAGCCTGTTGTGGTCCCAGGTGCTCCATCGGATTCCCCGCCGCCCACAGCGATGAACTCTGCTAGGACTACTGGAGTGGGTAAGTCCACCTGCTGCCCGGTTGCCCACTCATGCGTCAGGCTTCTCAAAGATGCAGTGTCCCAGTACACGAGTGGGGCACCTCATTGGCGCCACTCACCTGGGCCATCCTCAGCTGCTAGCCGGCCTCGACACCACCAGTTTGGACGACGGCTTCAGGAATCTCCCCCGGGCGTCTGTCGTACCCCTGGCGCTCCTTCTTCTCATCATTTGTTCCCACCAACTACCGTTATAGTCGGTCGGGGGCGGCATTATGAAGACGCACTCATTTTTTCGGTACTATCACCCGCTGATAACCCAGAGCCAAAGTTACGGACATAGTTTCTCTCACGGAGGCTTGCCCACCAAATTTTAACTTTTTATTTTCTACCTGTGATGGTAAAAGAGGAGGCGGGACTGCATCGATTTTTTAAAACTATCTCAAAGGAGATCATTTTTAACAGGTATTGATCTTTTGAACATCAAACCTTTGTTTATAGCAGTTCTCCTATTCTCTGTATTACTGTCTCTAGACCTCCCCATCGGCCTGTCCATTATTATATTCTCTGTTGTTGACCTGGCTGTGTGAGACCACCACTACTGTGTGTATTTTAACATTGCCAGTTTTAATCATCAGGAGACCCCGGTGAGAACAGTGAGGAAGTGGCTGCTACTGCTAGCACTAAAACCATATTTCACCATAAAATAAGCACTAATTCAGATTTTATTTCATTTTTGTTTGTGGAGGTACCACTTCATCACCAAGTCACAGAATTACACTTTGTGAATTAACTTTTTGTGTTTTCGGAGATGACACCACCAAACACAATTATCTCCCTTATCCATGACAACAAATTAACTGAGGATTGGAGTGTGTGTGATTTAAAAAAAAAAGTAGCAATTTGATTGACACTGTCAGAAATGTATTTAGAAAAACATTTTGTTGTGTATGTGATTTTTTTATGTGGTTACCAACTGAGTATGGCACAGTGCACTTGCCAAACACGATTAGATCGCAAACTCTATTTCCCTAGGAGTATGAAAATTTCAGATACAAGCCCAACTTTAAAAAGGCTGCCAAGTCATTCAAAAGGAAAGCAGTTTACTTTGATATATTAAATATAAGATACCCAGTGGACTTTCATATATTCTCCTTTCTTCTCTTTTCCTCCCCACTTGACTGTGTATCACAGTTGTCTGCACTTGATCACTAATGAGCAGAATTGTGATCTATTGGAAAGACACTTGACTAGACAATACTGGACCTCATTTGATGGCGCAATATATGCAAGTGCCCAGTATCATATCATACGCTTTTTAAAAAATATTTATTGGTGTCTTTTTGGCTGCTTTGTTAGTTTTATTGAACCGCTTCAAAGCGACTTGGAGTATGGAGAAAGGTGCAAAAGAAGTATAATGTAGTGACCTCATATTGCAACAATTTGAGCTAATCATTTAGATATTCTTACCCAAATCACTGCAGCAAGCAGTTTAAAAGTGGGTCAAGTTTCTTCAATTCAAAATGTGATTGTGCATATGGTCAGGTGTTTCTGTCATGTTGTGGACATAAACTCCATTTTAATGCATATACTATATGGTGCCTTTAGTGTCTTTTTATTTTTAATTTGCGCACCATTTGGCCCCACTGCCAACAATGGAGCTTACTGCATGTGGTAAAGCTGTAGTGTAATTGTTTTTTTCCCTTAATAATGGTGTTATTTTTCTCATAAATCCAAACATTCTTATGCACACTAGACGTAAAGTGTACATTCGTTTTTTTTCAAATGATCGTTTCTACAATATTCTGAGAATATCACAATGTCCCATCAGTAGTGAGCTATTTTTTAGATGAGTGTTTTTTAATAGCATTAAACTAATACGAATAGCTATTATTATTTTTGAGAAATGGTGAGAAATCAAAAGTTTCCCATTTGAATGCAGTTTGGTGCCTGTGGTGCTTTCATGGCTTCCTCCCTCCCCACACCGGGCCCGTGGCCGGGGGGGGGGGGAGCGAAGCCCCCTCGGCAAGCCGAGTAGTAGAAATGTTGTCCCCTCCCCTCCTCTTCCGAAGACCGAACCAGAACCATTCATCTCTCCCCTCCTTCGGCTTTCACATCCGGGTTACGCGCCAGTGTTTGTCTCCTGAGTCTGTGTGGCTGGAATCATTTCACCCTCACCGAAGCAAGCACCGCGACGTGCGGCTGTCTCTCGCCCGACTCGGCACCTCGCAGAGCGGACACAGCTCCCGGCGTGAGTCGGTGATGTCGCCCAGCTGCGGCGAGTCGCACTGAGGCGGGCATGAGACGGTGGTGGTGGTGTTGTTGGTGGTGATCGTAGCGAGCCAGCCAGCCAGTTTGCGGTGAACCGAGTCGCCCTTTAAAACGATGTCGAAAAGCCTCAAGAAGAAAAACCACTGGACCAACAAAGTCCACGAAGCGGTGATCAGCCGCGGCAAGGATGGCGAGCTGGGCTTCGAACTGAAGGGGGGCGCCGAGCTCGGCCAGTTCCCCTACTTGGGCGAGGTAAAGGCGGGGAAGGGTCTCGTCCAAAGCGGCAAACTGGCTGAGGATGAACTGCTCCTGGAGGTCAACGACATGCCCGTCGCCGGCCTCACCAGCCGGGACGTGCTGGCCGTCATCAAGCACTGCAAGGACCCGGTTCGCTTCAAATGTGTCAAACAAGGTGAGTGAGCCAGCCGCAGCTGACGTATTTACGCGGATGTGTGTACGCGTACGTGTGCGTGTGTGTGGATCGACGTGATTTACGTCATCTCTGCACTTTTAGTCGATTTTTGTGCCGTGTCACAATTAAGAGAAAGGAACTGAGTGTTGTTTTTCTCTGATGGGGGGTTCACAAAGCACAAACAGATGCTAGCTGGGCCTGTTGTCTGGACCTCCAGAACCGGAACCAGTAGTACTAACCACGGTTGTGGAGATCGCAGTCCGGAGGGGGCGTGTCCGTCTCCGGCGTGTTAGTGGCTTGCATCGGATAGCCGTGCTGGAGGAGGCAGTCACTGACTTCCGCTGCAAACAGACAGACAGACGGAGAGACACATGGCTGCCATTAAAGGGTTGTTGCAAACATAAAGCTGTCTAATTAGCGAAGGGCCTGAGTCTTATTGAGTGCTGCTGCTGAAGTTAATGTGGCTTGAAGGAGCAAAATCCCAAATTTAACACTAACACTACCGATAGATTGGTGCATGGATACTAGATCGATGGATGATAGGTGGAAAGATGGATAGATGGAAAGTTGGTTGAGTGGATAGTCCTGCTGAGTGATATGCAAATAAAAATTGAGATAGACAATACATCAGGACGATGTAAAACAATATATCCCCCCACTCCCCCCCCCCCAAAAAAAATACAACCCACTACTCCTGCTTACCTTCTCTCACTTTTTTTTTTTTTTTACAAATGACATTAAACAAACAGTCAAATGAGAATTGCATCCAGTAGTGCTGCTACTGTATACCAAATTGTGGCAAAGTAGCCTCCACATTTTGTACAAATGTAGATATCAATCTAAATAAGAGGCATACAAAATAATGGTTCTGACAGAAATTGATAACAAAAAAATAAAAAGATGAGCTCTACTGTAATGCAATTTTGAGAACATTGTGCACATCAGTAAGTCAAAATCAAAACTCAGGACTGTATTATGTAAACAGATCACATTTGTAAAATTACTGTATATGTATTCAGTATACTATGTCCATCCATTTTCTCAGTCACTTATCCTCAATATTAATATACTTCTAGGCCACTCCTCTCAGCTGACATATGGGATGCCAAAACAATCATTTCCTCTTTAGCTGTGTGTAGCATTATTTTGCATTATTAAATTGCCTATTCTTTGTTTTGATGCGACACAAAATGCAAACTGCTGTGTGAGCCTTGTGGAGTTCGAAGGAGTACCCAGCATACATTCAAGGGGATTCTATTCTGTAAATAGTTATAATTACAGGCTTGTTGTTATTGTTTTATTTTTTTTCACAAACAATTAGTATTCGTTATTTGCATTCACCCACGTGTTATTCATTTTCATTGACTGTTAGATTTAATTTTCAGCTGCACATTTGTATTGTATGATGACTTTGTATTGATTCACTTCTGTGTGTTGTTGTCCAATCAGTCACCCGGTGACAGCTGTGTGCCATAAGATTGAAGATACTAGAAAAGTAATATGACAAACATTTTGATCATCTTTGTGCTTTATCTATCGGCCAACACTAGTAGTTTATTTGGATGGGTAGATGGATAGATATTTTATAAATGGATCGATGGGTAGATTGATGATTGAATAAATGGGTGGTTGGATAGATGGATACATGGATGGATGGACATGTGGGTTTAACACTCAAACCGGAACAGATGGATAGAAAAATGGATGGATGTTGGAATGAATAAACCGGTGGTTAGCTACAACTTTTTTTTTCTTGAATTCCGTACTGTGCTGTGTGTTGTGAAGCTCTTCAGCGTTCAGCCAATTAATGCCACTGTGACATTGAGCATTATTTCCCTTGTGCAGGGCAGCATGTTTGTTGTGGCTGTCATCGGATGACGAGGCGTACCTAATGTTACGGCTGATGCGTGTAAACTTGCGATAAAGGCACAGTAGACCCCAAACAGGGCTTAAAGTACGATTTAGTGTTGGTCGTGGTGAAGATGTCTCATCGTCCGTGGAATGAAAGCAGCATTCCGACACCGTCTTGTTTTCTGGGACACGAGAAAAGCACAAATCAAACACTTGGGCCGGTTATTTTTGGAGCGAGCCGAGGATTTGCCTTCCCGGGCTGTTTGCGCCGCTCGCCTCCGTGTGATTGATTATTGAGTCGGAGCTGCTGACAGCGAGAGCGGCCTGCCGCGCACGAAGGGGTTAAACGCTAATGCGCATCTATCTCACACAGGTCTATTTTCTCCTCCCTCTCCCCTCCTTTTCTTAGCCAGTTAAACATGATGTGTTTATTGAACTCGCCTCGTCACACTCTCCGTGCTCTTCTTTGAGCTCGATCGTACCTACTCTCACTGGGCATTTCTTGAGGTACATCTGATCAATACAAGGGGGTGCTTGGTTAAAGGGAGAGTTCCGTTCCTTAAGCATTGTATTGTAACCCAACATAATTTCACACAGTGCCGTCTCACGAAAATCATTTTTGGACCGAGCTGCTAGCGTTGCAACTAATGATTAGATTCGTCTGTCAATTATTTTGTGGATGAATGCGATTTGGACTCGGGTTAAAAAAAAAAAAAGTAACTTCGAGAAGAATTATTGAATAATCTATCAGAGGTAGATATTTAACAGCAAATGGGTACTGCTCAAATTCGGCTCTTGTATGAAAACATTTAAAAAATGAAAAATAGTACACAGTTTTAAGTGTCTTTAAAGTATGGAGAAAAAAATAAGTATTGGAAAATTTGCAAAGTTTTGGGTTTGTTGTGGGTTCTCCTCCCTTGGTTGTTTCCTTTCTAATTTTGGTAAAAATATTAATCTATATTTACATATATCTACAGTATACTGTATATCTATTTATATGCACGCACACACACACACACTTCCCACTCCTGCGCTACAGATGGAGATGGTGTGAAAGAGGTGGCGAGAGATATGAGAGCAAGAACACATACCCTTTGGGATATCTTTACATCGAAGATGAACAAAACATTATGACTTCTTAAAATGGGGCAAATTTGCAGTGGTTTATATTTCAGGGTTTATTTCATGAAAAATGACTTAAAACAGCCACCTCTCTCCTTCTTTTGTCACAAATAGCCACAGTGATAAAAATAAAATCCCAGCTATTTTGGGTTGCTTTTTTTTATTCCAATTATTCTTGGACCTTTCATTGACAAGCACAGTTGCCTTTCTTAGCAATCTCAACATCGTGCGGTACCGTTGTTGATCCATATAGCTTTCAAAGTGTGCAGGAAATGCACAACATATGGCAAATCCTCTGTTTTTTTTCTTGTTTAATTTAAGATAAGATAAGATATCCTCTATTTGTCCCACACTGGGGAAATTTACACTTTGGCATCAAGGCTTCATAAGTAAAATATGTGCTGATTAAAGAGAAGAAATGAACTGATTTGGAAATGTCGGTCTGTCTCGTCTTAAGGGGAGCCAGAGCCTAAAAATAGTGACTCATTTAAATATCATTTAAATACAAGACGGCTATTGCAGTATGTATATGTAATATGTTTTACTTATCATTCATTAAATCATTTTAAAAAGGCTGTATATCATCCAGAACATTGAATGAATGCAATCAATGCTGTCTCTGTACTCTAATGCACTTTTTCCTCACCACTAAGACAACTTTGGCCTAAGTATGACACGTCACTAGTGAAGCAAAATTGTGCACTTGTTACCATCATTGCTATACTAGTATTACTAGTGACGTGCTAGATCTTAAAGAATTTTATACTGTCACCAGTAGAACTAGTCTCACACAGATGCCAGCTAGTACGCAGTTTTGCCTCACTAGTAACATGTCGTTGCCCCACTTGTATGCCAAAGTTGTCCTACTAGTGGGGACAAAGTATATTAGTTTCATGGACCTCAAACAGCTGTGTGGAAAGCCTTTTCAATATTTATTTAGTTTCCTTGATATCCAACTAAAGGTGCATCTACTAGTCCACTCTTTGTCTTTGCTAGTAAAACAATTTGAATACTGCCACAATAACTGTCTTGTAACTTTTTTTCCCCCTGCGGCAGTATAACATTTTTGCACACCATTGGGACAATTCCATATCCCAAGTGAGTCAAAATTGTGCACTAGTTGACATCTGCCCACTACAGGTACAGTACCAGTCGTGATTTTTTCAATTTTAACTACTGCAGTAGAATATTAAAATGCCACTAGAAGTACTAGTGCTATTTTATGGAAAGCTGTAAACATCTATTAGATATCCTTGATCTCCATCTTAACCCTTTCATGCACCAATAATGATAACCTGTAGCCTGATAACATGATAAGCTGTACACTGTCGTAACCGCTGTCCCTGAAAGGGTTAAAGTCTGTATACTACCATGTTCATTATCCTCACCAGTAATAAAATTCAGAGGACTAGTTAGAATGAACTAGAGCACACTCGTAGTCTATGTCTTAATAGAAGTGGGCTTCCCCCCTACACACTACATTTTTGCACACTTGTGGGATGAATTTGGCAAATTAGTAGCACAACTACATGTTACTATAGTGAGGCAAAATTACTAGTGGTCATTTTGGTGCTACTACTAGGGTCCAGGAGGCTATCAGTACAGGACTTATGTCCACTAGTTGAGCCTAGTAGTCTCACTAACATAGCACATTTATTAATTTGTATGGTTAATTGCATATTGGTCAGTGAAAAGTGGCAGTAGTGGAAAAATGTTACCGGCAAGACTCAGTTGTTTTGCTTGTGCATTGAATTGTCTGCTTAGTGAGGACAAAGAGCCTACTAGTACATGGACCCAAAGCTGGATATCAAGGATTTGGGGAAAAAAATGCTTTGCATATCTTTCCAAGGCTTTCTTAATGTGATGGAGGGACAGATGGAACTGAAGTGAGGCCACTTCCCCTCCCTTCACGTTTCACTCTGGTGATGCAAAGCAGTCCCACGAATCAGTGCAGAACATCCTGTCGGCTCTGCTGGTATTAATAACCCACCCAGCTATGAGAGGAAGATTTTACTGTATTTCATTTA